GTAACCAGTTGGGGCTGTCTCTGGATTTGAATGCTGCAGAGCTGGAGAGCATGTTTGGGTTGATGCAGGACCCACAGCTCACTACTGTGATCCAGACACACAGGAGGTTATTCCCAGGGGAACAGTCGGCCGGTGGACTGGATAAAAGCCACTATGAGGTCTGTTTATCCTGAGAAGGGGGACTGCCTGACTCCCCCTATAAATGCCAAATGGAACACCCCAGATGAAACAGCTGATTTGCTTCATATGCAAGCCATAGTATTGGCTTTATGATGACCGAGATATGCACCCACTGAATATTCCTGTTACACAGGCTATGGTAAATGCTGTGATTAAGAGGACCCTGTTATGTGGCACCCCATGTAACTACTACTACAAATTGGACAACAGTTGGAGAAGCCCTATCAGATTTGTTATCTTAGCTTCCCCACTTGGGTCTTACTGATACCAAGAGCATTAAAGTAATTAAGAAAATGGGAGAGACAAAGGGGAGAATCAAGGGTTTCCACCCAACAGAGTGGAAGTCTTCAGATGGTTATGGGAAAATGGGATGAATAAAGCAGATATTGATGGGGTTGAAACAAAGGTGTTACTGCAGCACTACCAGAGATTGGGTGGGCCAGTGGGACCCCATGTTGCTCCCCCAACATTACAGAGGCCCAAACAAGTCTGCTCTATTTACCCAGTTTGGAGAAATTTAAAAAGCTTGAAGGCCAAAATTATAAGAAACCTAATCAGGAATCCCCTGGGGTGGTGGTCAGGTGGACGAAGCAAGTTGAAGATTGACAAAAAGGCCAGGGTCTTCTGGCTACACTCTAGCTGCAGAACTGAGGCCATTTTTCACATTTATAGGTAAAATGGTCAGGGGGAGGGGAAGAAACTTTTCTGAGACTCCTTGATGTGTGAGTTCAATGCACTGTGATTCCGAAAACTGTTGAGGTCTGACCAGAGCTAAGGTTAGGTTGGGAGGCTCTGGAGACATAATGGTTGATTGGATTAAGGTGAAAGTTTACATGAAAATTGCGGATATGAGATTTTGTGTGAGGTGGTTGCAACCCCTTTACCTGAACGTATTATTGCAATGGATTATGTCTGACTGGGGATTGCTTCCCCTGCCTAATACTGTAAAACAGAAGGCATGTAAGCCCGCCCTCAGGCCAGTTTTAACTGGGAATGCTAAATGAGAAATGCTAGAACTTCCCAACCCCACACAGGTGGTTAACTTAAAGCAGTATAGAATACCTGGTGGACAAAAAGAGATCACCACTTTAATGAGTGACATGCTAGAAGCTGGAGTGGTGGTACCCACAAATTCGCTGTATGATAGTCCTGTGTGGCCTGTGAAAAAGGCAGATGGCTCATGCAGACTAACAGACTATCGACGCTTAAATAAAGGTGCACTGCCCATAGCCTCAGCAGTTCCAGACATTGTCTCAACCACATAGAAAATACAACAGGCTAAAGGAAACTGGTCTTCAGTGATTAACCTTGGAAATACTTTACCCATAATGTCTTGGGTGATGTCAGAGAAACACTCTAGTAAGGAAGGTAGTGCCCGGAAGAGTTCCATAATAAAATGGAAATGGTTCATACAGGAGCAGGCTGCCACTGGAAGGTAAGGAGGCCCACACTGTATCCATGAGCAGGTAGCCTCTTTTTCTCTAGGACCAATGATGGAGCCACCTGGTGAGCTTCCAGAACTGGCTGCCATGTGCGCTGTGACCTGTGAACAGCTCTCAGCTGAACGGCAAAGAGCTGCTTGGTTTATAGGTGGCAGTTCCGAGATGGACAATATCCTTTTCAGAAAGCTGCTGTTGTAAGACCAAAGGATGGCAAGACTCTAGTGAAGGAAGGTAAGAACAAATCAGCTCAGTGGGCTGAACTGCCTGCTGTTTTCCTGGCAGTGGTGGAAGAACGGAACCATGATTAAAGCCCGTATGTTTGGATTTTTATGGACTCCTGGGATGTAGCCAATGGTCTGGCTGTATGGTCAGGTCAGTGGGCAATGGAAAACTAGACTATTAAAGGAATGCCTGTGTGGAGTGCAGCCCTATGGAAATCACTATGGGAATTTAGGGGGCGCCTTAAAGTAGGACATGTTGATGCCCATCAGAAGAATACCCTTCCAGGATCAGAAGGTGACTGGAACCACCAAGTGGACCTGTTGATGTGTTCCCTTGAGGCAGGCACTGGGTCCATGATATGAGTGGACATGGGGGAGCTGCAGCAGTGCAGACACAGGCTGAATCTAGACATATTCCTGTTGCACCCTGTGAGGCACAGAATGCCAACAGGAACTGTTCTGTCAACAAGAGAGACAAAGACTGCAGCTGGTTATGGGGAAAACTCCCCAGAGGGAAGGCCCCACACACAGCTGGCAAGTGGATTACATTGGACCAATGCCAGTAGCCCCTAGGGGCTATAAATAAGTGTCTATTCTATAACTAGAATAGACACTTATTCTGGACTGGGCTTTGCATACCTGGTGGTAGATGCAAATGTTCAAAATACCATTAAAGGATTGGAACAGAAGATACTGTACCAATTTGGACCACCAAGTTACATCTTTTCAGACCAAGGGACACACTTCATTGCCCATGGTGTCCAACAGTGGGCCAGGAGACATCACATCAGACGGACATACTGTGTTGCATATCATCCTCAGAGCAATGGTTTAATGGAAAATTGGAATGGGCAGTTGAAACATTTGCTGTCTCAAACAAGGGAAGATAAAGGTATGGGGGGCTGTCTTACATACCTTAAAGAGTGTGCTCACATTTAACATGAGGGGGGCTAAGGGAGGGTCCCCACTGGATTGATTCCTTCACTTTTCCAGGGGGTCTGGGGAAGAGAAGTTTGGGGAGGATGCTGGTGCGACTATACAGTTCTTCCCCACATCACCACAACTTTCTTTTTTTCCTACTGGGTGCAGTGTTTCCAGACCAGGGCTGCAACTGCAGGTGCCACAAGCAGGGAGTTACCAAACAAGAAACTGAAACTCTAAGCTTATCCTTAAACCTTTATGTCAGAATTCCTAAGGGACCAATGGAGTGGATTGTGACTTCACCCCACCTGGCACAGCCGTGCTACCTTGTAGCTAGGACAGCCTGTTAGCTCTGCACCTGTGTGACCCTACCCTACATGAGTGGGAGTGGACTTCGGGGGAGCCACTTGCTAGACTAGTATTGCTTCCAGCAATCTGGACCAGCACAGTAACCAGGCCTGATGTCCCCTCCACAGAAAAGTCTGGTTAAAGATAAATGACAAATGGAAGAGAAAGAGAAATTATGGCTGAGGGTAAAGGGATGAATAAGTGGGTTATGCAACAAAGGAAATCCAACATTTTATTAATGCCTTGAGAGAGGCTCAGAGCAAGAGAATAATCTCTCTTAGCAAAAGCAGACCAGATGCCGAGAAGGGTGACACTATTTTTTGCCAAAACCACTTCCGCTTTTGGAACCTGACAAGATTGAATGATAGCCTGTGAACCGGAGTTACATTGCACTGGGAGAAACTCTGGTCATGAGATATGTTTACAAAATGGACCAACATAAAAACATTTGTGATGATTTTACAGGACAACTGAGTTGTTTCTTTAAATCTGTCCCCACCTGACACTGGCTTTTCCAAATGTTAGGCCTATTTGCATTGGTACTATTGTTCTATCTGTTGTATAAATACTGTACCAGATGTAAGTGCTGTGACACATATGGTCATTTTGCTGTAAGGAGTCTGTGTTTGAATACCAGGGTGTGGATTGAGATAATAATGAGTTGTAAGAAGTACATACTTGGTCATTTTCATATGACCAAATATATACATTTCCCAGGTATATTTGGTCTTCACAGTTCCTGAAAACACTGCAGAGTCTTAAAGGTGAAATGGGGGTCTTGTCATGTTAATGAGACTTGGACCCCCACCCAAGGGCAGGGGCTGGAGGTTGAATCAGCCAATAGCCAATAATTTTGTCAATCATGACTAGGCAATGAAGCCCTCGCAAAAATCCCTGAAAAGAGTTTATTGCTCTCTTGGACCCTGCTTTGCTGTTGGAGAGAGCTTCTGTGCTTGAGGAACCAGAATGCTTCCATGTGCCATCTAGCCAGGCCCCAAGCTCCCTAAGGATAGAAGCTCCTTTATTTGGGATCTTGCCCTCTGTATCTCTTCATCTGGCTGTTAACTTAAATCCTTTATTAAACTGTTAAGTATGTTTTCCTGAGTTCTGTGAGACACTCTGGCAAATTAATCGAACCTACAGGGGAGGTGGTGGGAACCTCCAATCTATATCCAGTTGGTCAGAAGCACAGGGAACTGCTTGGGCCTTGCGACCATCCTCTGGAGTAGGGGTGGGGGGCAGTCTTGTAGAATGGAGCTCTTAGCCTGGGGTATCTGGTGCTGTCTGCAGGCAGCTATCATCAGAATTGAGTTGAGTTCTCCAACACCCTGCTGGTGTTCAGGAATTGCTTGGTGTTATGTGTGGGAAGACCCCCTCTCACACACATACATGCACATACTGGAATTGGGTCCAGGAACCTGAATGGAGTTATACTACTATTATTGCTGTGTATAATACTCTTGTTGTATATATGAAAAAACAACACATTTCCCAGAAAAATCAAATAGAAAGAGAAAATATCCTAATGTACAAGCTTAATTTAACAAGATAGAAAAAACTTAAACTGTTATGTTCTTGTGGCCTGGCATCACATAATCATAGTTATTTGGTCAATATATATGATTAATTCAGTGAGAGAAGATGTTTGGCTATAAGGCCAGGTACAAAAAAAGTATTTTCTTGGAAGATTGCTGTCCCTTATGTAATACCACTAGGTGAGTGAGTGAGCGTACAGAGTCACAACTTCCAAGTTCTTTCTGAAACACTCTGCATCAGTCTTAATGGTGATTTACAGCACTAGGGTGGATCTTCCAGGCATCTAAGGTAACACAATCATAATGTTCTGCTCATTTTTATCAAAAGAAAAAAATATGTATGGTCATTTCAAAGACAGCATAGTCACCAAAAGCCAAAAAAAGCCTCAGAGGCAAAGGGAAGGGGCTGACACCCTGAGAACTAAAGAATGACGAATGAGAAAACTCCTCCCTGCTGAAGATACTCAGGTGTATAAAGGGCACATGAAGGAACACTTAAGACCTAAAACATCATTGTCAATCTTGAGTCTTGCAGATTTCTTAGCTCAGAAGAAAAATGAGCACCAAAAGTGATATGATTCGGAAGTGCTGGTGGTTTGTATGCTTTGTGGGTCTGTTCATCACTGGCAACCTCTGTCTGGATTGTAACTTGCTGAATGTTCACCTGAGTAGAGTCACCTGGCAAAATCTCAGACTTCTGAGCAGTATGAGCAATAGATTTCCTGCAGAATGTCTAAGAGAAAAGAAAGCTTTTGAGTTGCCCCAAGAGATCCTATCACACAACCGGCCTGTGAAAAGGGACATCATGGAGGTCTTCTATGAAATATACATACAAGCCTTCAACATCTTCAATCAATACAACTTCACATCCACTTGGGAAGAGAAACATGTGAAACAAATCCAAATCGGACTTGATGAGCAGTTGCAGTACCTGGAACAATGCTTGGAAGAAGAGGAGAAGGAAAATGAAGACATGCATGAGATGGGAGAGAATAAGATGAAATACTCAGGAGCTATGGTTCCCCAGCTGAGCAACCTAGAACTGAGGAGATACTTTCACAGGATAGATAATTTTCTGAAAGATAAGAAATACAGTCACTGTGCCTGGGAGATCGTTCGAGTGGAAATCAGAAGATGTTTCTACTACTTTGTGAAATTCACAGAACTACTCGGGAGGAAATAAGGTATATTTTTAGAATTAAAATTCCATGTCTCTCCCAAATCTCCTTCTCCCCTTTCATCTTTTTAAGAACTATTCTATTGTCCTATAAGCCTGCCCTAGCTTGGCTTGGTGTGGGTTTATGTAATGTTTACTGTCCCTAAAGTTTGGCCTTGTGACATCAGCCACAGTCGCCTAAGAGAGGTGATGCCAGCCATCCCCTGGATGACCAAGAGTCTTGCAAAGTCCTGAAGACAGTTTTAAAGGAATAAGATTCCATCTCAATCTTCTACTATCTCCTTCTCTTTCCTTTGGCTATTTTGTATTTGCTTTGCTCTATTACCTTTGAACTTCACCAAGCCAATACCTAAAGGACATGGATCAGAGGATATTGCAGAATGTAACACCTCAATGACTTAGCCCTTTTGCTGCCAAAGTTGTTTATTCTATGAATGTTTGGCATGTTATAAGCTTATATAAACTTCCACAGAGTTAAAACCCTTCTTTTTTGGGAAATCCTACCCTCAAAAAAATAAAGGTTGAAATGTCTGGCCCATTTGCTTCTCAGCTTGATTTGTTCGAAATGATACAAAGTTTGTTAGATGGTATTTTATTAGTTTAAGAGAGTGAAGCTCCATACCATACTCTTGTATTACTGGATGATTGAATTAGAGGACCACCAAGCACTCTTTCAAACTTTCAGAGCATATGATTCTAATGCAGACAGCAATGTTTATTCCTAGTGCATATTATTTGATGTCTATATCTAAAGGCATGGAAAATGCTGCAGAAAAGTATAGTATCTGACTTACACTGTTGTTTGGTGGATGTGTGTGCCTGAAATGAAATGCCTATAATCATACTACGAAAGAATTTCACATTGGATTTTCCCAACTAGAAGATCACTTTCTTTCTGTTAAGCAAACTAGTCAACCTAATAACATATGACACTTTGATATACTTTATCTTTTTAAAAAGTTATTTTGTACCTGATTTACCTAGATGATTTATTTAAATTTGCTTGTGTGGTCCTCCATCCAAATTAATTCATCATCTAGGTGAAATAAATTTTCTTTTCCTCTCTCTCTCCACCCCATTTCAGAATCATCTACCTTCAAGCAAGAATATAGAGATGGGGGTACAGAAATGCACAGAAGAGTGTGACATATACCTGGCTCAGCCCTTGAAGACCTCTCCTGCTATTGTTTTAACATCATGCTGCTAAATCATTTAGATTCAGGATTCATCCAAGTACAGGGCTCATGTGATATAGCCAAACAGAAAACCTTACGATAAAACTGAGGCTAACTTCAGACAAAAGTTAAAAAAAATGTTTAAAAGAACAAGAACAACTTGTGGATCATGGTGTACTAGTTATCAGCAGAAGGAGCACAAATAAATTTAGTATAATCCATTTTCTAAAAACAACTCACCAACAGACCTATTCAAAATTCTAAAAAAAAGTACTATAAACTATAAAGAAGTTGGTGTATGCAGGCTACTAAGTATAAAGTATACACTTGGTCTTTTCCATGAATTTCTCTAATAATGCCTTTGTGAGGCACAAGTTTCCTACAGGACAATGTGGGAATCTTAAGTATCCTTAAGAAGTGCATTTTTAACCAATGACTATTAACTAAATAACTACTGGGATTATGTCAGTTACTTCAATAATTTATTATTTCAGTCTTGCCAAACGTTTGCTATATAAGAGGAAGAGAACTGGCACTCCAAGTCAATAAAGACTGTCTGATTATACAGGTGGTGGGGAAGGGGGTGAGAAGACATAACAGCTTTTACTAAGAGTACCTAGTCAGAAAAAGAACACCCCCACTGAAAAATAGGTAAGGGCACAAACTGGTATCACAGAAAGGAAAAAATACTAACAGACAAATGAAAAATGTCTAATCTCATTTGTAATTAAAAAAATGCAAGAGAGGACAAGATATTCCCCTCCCATCAGTCTGGCAGAGATGAAAAAGAATGATAATACAAAATGTGAGTTTGGGGTAGAGTATAAGAAAAAAAAAATCCTCTTGTGTATTGTTGGGAGAGAGGGTAACCAGCCACAAGTTTCTGATAGGGCAATACAGCAATCATAAATGTCCTAAAAATGCATTAACTCCTTCGACCTGTCTATCTGGTGTCCAGAAATGTATTCCAAGGAAATCATTGGATCAAACTGTCGCTGGAGGCTCGTTTTCATTTTCATCTCTCTGTATCCTCCATTTCTTCTAGAGTGATTTTTTGGGGGGGATTTTTTTTTTTTTAGTTCTAAAGTTAGAGAAACTGTGCAAGCTTATCTTCCAGTACAGTTCCCGTTTTCCCTACTGGGGTAGACTGGGACCAGTACTCTTTCTCTTTCTCTTTGTTAAAGATGCCATGGGTGCCTCTGGAGCACCCCAGGCCCTTCTCACTTCTCTCCTGCTGCTGCTACAGCTAAATTTCAAAGGAATCCTTCCTTGGGGATCATTTTCATAATGAAATGTTTGTGAAGTGTTTTCCTGTACTTAAAAAATTTTTTTTTCTTTTGTCCCACTGGTAACATCCAGAAAACCCTGGAGAAAGAACTCTGTGTCCACAATCCTGACTTAGCAGTCTCCTTTGTTTTTCTTCTTTATTAAAAAAAAAAAAAAGCTCAAAAGTTAAGTCCAGTAAAGGGAAACCTTAGAACTGTGCAGAACCAAGTGCAGATTTCCACTTAAATGCCTGAGTGGGTACACAGGTCAGAGTTGTTCAAGTGGAAGCTTCCTCCCTCTCCTGGCTTGGGGGAGGGATCAACAGGTGGGGAATAAAGAGTCATAACGGAGTCTCCTTGGAGGAGGGACTGAGTGGGCCTCCCACAGAAAAAGCTGGCAACTCAGGTATTCATAAAGCTATGAGCATTATAGGTTCCAAAAGGTGCACAGACTAGGCCTCCCCTCGCAGGCAAAGTGACTCTCCCAATACCACCTGGGGCCCTGCCTTCTCAGAGTGGCTACTTTGCTTCTGCCCAAGTTCTTTAATAATCCACACTAAGAATAGCACAATGTGTTAATAATCTAGTGAGGGAAAGCAGGTACGCATGACCACCTGTAATCTAACAGGCGCCTCCACAGGGGAACCCCAGGCCAATGCCAAGTCACCACTGCTCAGCAACTTGGAAGCTTTAACACTATCCTGGCAGCGTCTGCACTGAGTCCCCTGGGTCTGCTTCTCTTAAATGTTGAGAGGGGACCTGGGATTTAAACTTGGAGCCCTATGCAAAGTCAGAACTCCACATCCATTCTGGAGGGAACCACCTCACCACTATTTCTGGGCAAAGTCTTGAGCCTTCCTAGGTTATTTCCAGCTCCATTCTCAGGAAAGAGCCTGGCCTGCCCTCCAGCCCTGGGAAACTCGCAGACCTCAGAACCTGGGCTTTCTGCCTACCACAAGTGCCCTGATCCTATCCCACTGCCTTGGCAGCGGCCCAGCCACACGCCTTGGGCGGAGATCGGAATCCCCTGGAATCCACCAAAAGGCACCCTGCAATCGGGTGGAACCTCGCTTCCACTCTCGACAGCTTCCCCCCTGTGGTATCTGGGACCTTTGTGGTGCGTCTGGGATAAGATCTGAGAAATGAGCCCTCGGCCACCGACAGTCGAGGAGGCGGGGAAGGAACAACTTTTCCTCCGCCCTCTAACCACAAGGCCCGGGAGGGGCGGCCCAGCCGGGGACCGGCTCCGCTCTAACCCGGGTCAGTATCCCAGGCAGGAGCTGACCCGGTGACTGGAGTAGGGGGGCAGCGGGGGTGGACAGCGACGTGGACGAGAAAGGCTTCCTTCTCTCCCCAGGTTCTGCCAGATGTTGGAAAGGCAAACAATAGGGGAAATGCGGAAAAACAAAAGGCCATTCGCCACGATCTCAATGGGCCCTGTCGCGTGGTCCCTCCCGGGAGGCGGGGGGTCGGGGTGGGAAGGACGGGGGGTTCAGGAAGGTGGGGGAAAGGGGCTCCTAAGGAGTTTGGAGCCTCTAGTACTTCCTCGCCAGGCTCCGGGTATCGGCCCTTCACTCTTCCGAGGGGTCCAGAGGCAGAAAGCAAAAATCAAAGGATAGTTGGGGGGCTTTCACCTAACTCAGTGCGGGGCATGGGAGGGGCTGCGATGCCAGATGTTTGACAGTTGTTGGCTCAACGGTTCAGCTGGATCTTGTATGTCCTTCACACATCTCCTCCTCCACGAAGCACCCACAGCCCCGGGGCGCCCCGGCCGAGGAGCGGAGTTTCCCTCCGCAGCCCCCAAGCCGAGCCTCCTCCTTCCAGATCAAGCCTCCCTAACGCTGTCCCCCTGCCCGGGCGCACTTTTGCGAAAGTTTGTCTTCCCGCCGCCCAGAGCCCAACACGCACCCTGCAGTCATCGCGTTTCGGGATGGGCTCGGTAACCCGAAGGAAGATGAGTTATTGATTTATCTTTTTAAAATCAAGGCCGTGGGGCGGGCGGCGGGGCTGCCTCTGGTTCCTGACTGGGAAGGGCGCGCGAGGGGCCGGCCAGCAGCCGAGACGCGGGCAGGGGTCTGAGGCGGATTCCAGCCCCGGAAGCCGGCGGATGGCGGGCTGGGAAACGGGGTCCTCCCCCTCCCGCCCCCCTTGTGCACCGGCCCCCCAGGTGCGCCCCGCACCTTTGGCCCCCTGGGCGCGACGCGGGGCGAGCAGCTGCCCGGCTGCGCCACCTCCCCTCGCTTGGAGCGGGTTCTCACTCACCGGAGCGTTCCGCCCTTAGCCCGGGCCCTGCGGGTCCCCGCGCCGGGTCAGCCGCAGCGGCGCGAGAGGACGAGGGTGATCTGGGAGCGGGAGAGGAGCCGCCTGCAGGTCCCCACGAGGGGCTCCGGAACAGAGCGCGCGGTCTCAGAGAGCGCCGACGAGCGGGCGCGGGCCTCCGGCGGCAGACGCGGCTCGCGAGCAGCCCCCGCACGCGCCCAGCGGGGCTCCTGCGCGGGGCGCCGAGGGAGGGACCTCTGGCGGCCGCTCGCAGAATAGCAGCTCGGTGGGGGAACGAAGTCAGGCGGCCTTTAGGGTCATCTTTCCTCCTGAAGGAGGTGGAAAATGGGCAGTTAACGGGGCTCCCAGCCTTTCCAAAAAATATTGACCCTCCCGCCAGGGAGCAGCAAGAAAGATATCGGAAAGGATGCGTTCTGGGTCCACCGTGGCCACATTCAAGACACCTGGAGAGGGGAAAAACGCTTACCTTCTTCAGATTTCCTGACTTGGTGAAAAATGCCATCAACTGCCTGACAAGGGGAGCATTAATCATTGGAAAATACTGTGGGATTCTGGCGGATTTACTAGAACAAGCTTGGAATAATGGAATAAACATGGCCTCTGGAGCCCAGCCACAACCTGCCACTTCTACTTGTGTGATCGTGTTCTATGAGTTCTAAGCCTCAGTATTCTCCTATGTAGACTGGGGAGAGCAAAAGCCACCCTGCAGAGTGGTTTTAAGGGGCAAAGTAAACATAGAAACTATTCTTAGTAGGAGTCATTAAATATATGCTTCCTGAAGAAAACAATATTTTCCATATCTTTTTATTACCCATATAATAGCATCTTAATATTGATTGAGGAGTACCAAATGACTTAAGGATTACATTTTACAATTTTTACTACACATTTTCAAGAGGTATGGAAATATATAAAGTAGAAGTCAGGACATACGGAGAAAACATCTCTCCCCAAAAAGTGGTTCCACGACTATTACATGAGGACTTAAAAACTACACACATCTTTTGCAATATCAAGTCATTTCTGATTTTGCAGGAAATACTTAATAGTCATGGTCTAATGATATGATTCCTGAACTAAAGGATTCCATTCAATTGTGTGTCACTTGAGCAATGCAAAGATATTGGAGATTAAGAATATAAAACTTATACCTGAGAGTGAAAAAAAAATGGTCAGATACAAAATCTAGCCACTAAGCAATGGTTCTGCTCATCACTGAGTAGTGTAATCTTATTTTCAAACTGCCTCAAACCCTAGTCACTGCTTTTAAAGCTCCTTTTGTCCCTGTAGCCTTGTGGCAACCAGACAGCATTTCATCACCTAGAACAATTAGGATGGGTGTGTCTCTTATTAAATTCCATGGTTTAGTGCTTGTCTGTCACTCACTAGTCCCTAATTGGGAAGAGGCTGTTGCCTGCCTAAGAATTCTAATTACATGGTCTTTTCTATCCTGTCAAGAAGAGAGGAAAAATAAGGTTTCTTAGCTCAGAAACTAAAGCAGAACACTGAGATCCAACTTCTGCTGTTGGAAATAGGGATCACACTCCAGGCACAGATGAGCAGGGCATGTGCAGGGCAAAGGGGGCATATTCCAATCAATAAACATTAATGGAACTGTCTCTGCCTCTCCCCTTGGGTTGCAGCCTCCCCTATAGGGAAAAGAGGACTTTCCTCCTACTTCCACCTCTTAGTGGTTCCTTCCCTGGGGAGGAAGGGCAAATCTGCTGACTGGGAGGAAGCCTTCTGTATTTCCTAGACAACCTTCACCAGTGAGTGGGGGCAGTGTGATGAATGGCACCCTGCCTACTCTCTGATCCTTCTTCTCTGCCTGTGACCTAGTGGCTGGGGGAGGCTGGCTCAACTTTTAGAATCTGCCCTGAAGGACTAGCTCTTAGATTCAAGCCTTCCTTGGTCCTCCTGTGTCTTTGAGTTCTCAGGCTACTATAGCAAAATACCATAGACTGGGGACTTATATAAACACCAGAAACTTGTTTCTCACAGTCTGGAGGCTGAGAAGTTCCAGATGTAGGCACCAGCAGAGTTGGTGTTTGACAATGGCCTGTTTTCTCACAGACCTCTTCTCCCAGGGTCTTCACCTGGCAGGAGGGGCAAGGAAACTTTCTCAGGGTTCTTTTGTCAAAACACTATCCCATTCATAAGGGCTCCACTCTTAGGACCTAATTACCTCCCAAAGGGCCCATCTCCCAGTACCATTACCTTGGGGGCTGGGATTCAACAAATGGATTTTAGGAGGACACAGACATCCATCTGTAGCATCCTCCAATCAGCCTTCATCAGAGCCCTGAATGGCTGTTGTATAGCGAACCGGCTGCACCAGGATCTGTGCTGTTTCCTACTGGCTATTACTCCCTGTGTGTATGCTTCTCTGCTTCTATGCAAGAGCAATCTGAAGGGAAAGGACGGAGGAAGGGGAGGATTCAGGGACCCAAAGTTCACTCACACTGAGCTCATGCTTTCCCTCAAACTCCTCCCTCGGCTGTCTTCCCCATTGTAGGGAATAGGCCACCTCAACCTTTCAGTTGCTTAAGGCCCCAAAACATGGACTCATCTTTGACTTTTCTCCTTTTTCTATTCCACTGCTAATCTATCGGCATAGCTTGCTGGTTTTACCTTCAAAAGATGTCCAAAAGGCAGACAGACTTCTTACCAGCCCCTCCATAGTTACCACCTCAGTTCATGCCACAAATACCTGTAGCCTGGATTACTGCAAGCATCTCCTAACTGGTCCCCCCGCTTCCACTTTGCCCCTTTGTATTCTGTTCTCAATGCAACAGCCAGTGTAATTCCATTAAAATGGATGTTGTATTTTGTCAGTCTGCTACAAAAAATCCTCTTCAGTCTTCCTGTCTTACTCAGAATAAAACCAATACACATAAATGCCCCTGTATCTCTAACCCCATCTCCTACTCCCTTCACTATCACACATTCCACTCCATTCACACTGCTTTCTTTGATTCCTAGAAATGCCAGGCAAATGCCTACCACAGGGGCTTCATCCTTGCTGTGCCTTCTGCCAGGAATATGCTTTACTCACATACTGCATGGCCTACTACCTCACCTCCTTCAGCTCTTTGTTAAAAAATCACCGGAGGCCTCCCCTTTCATCTCTGTTTAAACTTAAAAGTGCCTCCCACAACAATCCCTATCTATATTCCTTGCTCAATTTTCTCCATAGAATTTATTGTCACCTGATATACAATATATATACTGCCTGTATTATTTTCTATTTTACTGCCTGTGTTAGTTTTCTATGACTGCTGTAACAAATTACCACCAACTTAGTGGCTTAAATAATACAGATTTGTTATCTGATTGTTCTGGGGGTTAGAAGTCCAACACAGGTCTCACAGGGCTAAAATCAAGGCATCAGCAAGATTGCATTCCTTTTTGAAGTCTACAGGGGAGAATTAGTTTGCTTACATTTACCAGTCCCTGGAGGGCACCCACATACCTTGGCTTGAGGTTCCCATTCTCCATCTTCAAAACCAGTAGCAACAGGCTGAGTCCTCACATTATACCTCTGGCTTTTCTGTTTCCCTCTTTCACTTATAAGGGCCTGTTTGATTACATTGAGCCCATGTGAGTAATCCAGGATTATTTCTCTATGGGAAAGCTAGCTGATTACCAATGTTAATTCCATCTGCAGCCCAATTCCCCTTTGCCGTGTAATGTAACACATTCACAGGTTATGGAGATGAGGATATGGATGTCTTTGGGCGCCATTATTCTGTCTACCTTACTACCTTAACTCTTCCCACTAGAATGTAAGTTCCATGAGACTGAGATTTTTATCTATTTAGTTTTATTTTCTATCCCTGTTCTAGCTCAAAGGCACTTGCTATGGACTGAAAAGAGAGAAATTGTTCTCTCTGTGTCATGTGAGGATGCAGTGGGAAGGTGGCCAACCACGAGCCACAAAGATTCTCACCAAAAACCAAACTGACTGGCACCATGGTCTGAGACTTTCCAGCTTCCAAAACTGTGAGAAGTAAATGTCTATTATTATTATTACCATCCAGTCTATGGTATTTTGTTAGAATAGCCTGAGCAGACAAATACAGCACTCAAATATTTATTGCATTAATTAATGAAGAGACCTCACTATAGGTATTGCAAATTCTTAACACCTGTTAAGCACCTACACTATGCTGGATACTAGCTAAGTACTTTACATCAAATATCTCATTTCATTCTCACAAGATCCCTATGCAGTAGGTTCTGGTGAATAAATTCTAGACCAGAAAGTCGAAGTGCCTTGCCCAGTGTCACGCAGCTACTACATCACATCTGCAGGTTTTAGGCTTGGCAGTGCAACTTAAACCCATGGCTGCAACCCTCACACTCCCCTGCCATTATCATGTGGCAATGGGCAACCCTGGATCTTGTCCTCAAGATACTTATAATCTCATGAGAATGACAAGAGAAAAACAACTAGCAGTCACACAAAGAAGACTATGTGGGGAGGATTGCTAGTAGAGAAGAGGAAACACATTTCTGTGGAGCACAGAGATGGGAAAAGTTAATTCTAGATAGAATTGACTATGGGGAGCTTCAGGGAGGATGTGGCATTTGAGCTGGACTTGAAGATGAGGGATATTGGTGGAGTTAGATAGCAAGGCTGTTTCAGATAGAAACACAGCAGAAAAGGTACAGGAAGGTAGCTGTGTCCTGGAAACTAAGATTAATCTAGGTGGTATAGGGACGGGGTGTGCAATTAGACAATAAGGGTTGGGATACCAATACTAGGCTAGATATCAAAGGAAGTTTTATGATTTTTGTTAATGGTTAACAATGGAGAAAATTTACCTGAAGAAGCTGCCAAAGTCATGTCTGAAACTGTAACTCAAAAGGCAACCAATAGCAGACAAAAGTGAACTTCTTGCTGGAAAAATGTTTTCAGAGACTGCTAACTCTGTTTGCCAAATAAAGGGACAATCATGGACCTATAATTCTGGGCCCAGAGCACAGACTCATATATCTTCCAATCAAACAGTTCTAAAAGAGCAGAAATGAATAATGGGAGCTACTGGGTCATTCCTGACCTTTGGACAAGTATAGCTTTCACCATTTCTGTCTCACAGACAAACTAAGGTTGGAAGGGTTAAGAGACTTGCCCAAGATTACACAGCTAGTACAACTG